AGGGTATAGGCTCTTGGCTTTATCAAGTGCCAGGCCTTGGCAGAAATCAGAAATGTGAGGTGTGATGCTAAACTCCCTCTCCTGGCCTCCGTGCAGGCAATTTCACTTTTTGCCAGCCCTTGAGACATGGGTGACAGAGGCCATCTGGCTATAGAAGCTACAAATATTCACTCCACAGATATGGGCCCCAGAGTTGGTGTCCTGGCATAGGGATTCCGTTTGCTCTTCCCTCCCGAGGTGCTGTCTCTCCTTGGATCTGGGGGAAGAGTGATGTATGCTACTCTTTTATTCTTGCTTTCTTCAGTATGACCTCTTTTATTTTTAAATATTGTGTTTTTGAAAGAGTTTCAGAGAGAGAGAGAGAGAGGGAGGGAGAGGGAGAGAGCTTCCATCTGCTGGTTCACTCCCCAAATAGCCAACATAGCCAGGGGTGAGCCAGGCAGAAGCTAGGGGCCAGAAGTTTCCTCTGGATCCCCCATGTGGGTGGCCGAGGCCCAAGCACTTGAGCCATCTTCCAATGCTTTTCCTGGGCCATTAGCAGGGAGCTGGATTGGCAGTGGAGCAGCCGGGGCATGAACTGGCACTGATATGGGATGCTGGTGTCACAGATAGAGGCTTTACCTGCTACACCACAAAGCTGGCTCCATGACTTTTCTGATAATTATAAAAAGACGAGACACTGTTATCACCAGAGCCTCATACCTAGTCACTGTCTTGATTCCCTCTGTCCATTGTTTTTTAGACATAATGCTGTTGCACACTCAAGAGATTACATTATAGTATACACATAAACATAACTTTTATTTATTTGAGAGGTAGAATTACAGACAGTGAGAGAGAGAGAGACAGAGAGAAAGGTCTTCCATTGGTTCACTCCCCAAATGGAGTGAACTGCCAGAGCTGTGCCGATCCGAAGCCAGGAGCCAGATGCCTCTTCCCAGTCTCCCACGTGGGTGCAGGGGCCCAAGGACTTGGGCCATCTTCTGCTGCTTTCCCAGGCCACAGCAGAGAGCTAGATTGGAAGAGGAGCTGCCAGGACTAGAACCAGCACCCATATGTGATGCCAGTGCCACAGACGAAGGATTAACCTACTGTGCTGTGGTGCTGTCCCCAGACATAACTTTTTATAAGGACTGAGAAATGAAAATTTATGGGACTCACTTTATTGCAATAGTGCTTCGCTGCAGAAGTCTGGAACCCAACCAGCAGTATCTCTGAAACATACCTGTGTGGTATATTAAACAACAATGGGGCAAATAAAGGGTAGCTAATAGGAGTTTCAGGATAAAGGCTTTAATTCTTAGGTACAGTGGCCAGGCAAGGAGGGAAAAGCAGCTATAATTCAAAATTTGTACTTTGGAAATTTATATTTATTAAATAAAAGTTGAAAAAAAAGAAAAGGTGACATTTGTGTCAAAACCACGAGGGAGGCTTGAAATGTTGGGGGGAGGAGGCCAAGGGGTACTATTCCAGGCAGGGGAACCAGCTCAAGGAATGCCAAGGAGTGGAAAGAACAAGGGGGGGAGTTGTAGGAGATGAAGTCAGCAAACTACGGAGCAAGCTCAGTTGGGGCCTTGAAGGACCTTTAAGGACACTGGGTTTTATCCTAAGGAAGGAAACAAGAGTTCTGGCCAGAATAGAGGTGTTGCCTGACTTGCTTTGAATCCAGACAGAACTGGGTATTCCCATGCAAACAGCCTGTAGGAAAGATGTAGCAGGGGCAAATGCAAACAGATGGGAAGCAATTTGCTTTGGTTCTGGTGAGAGGTAATGATGACTGGAATTCAGATGATAGCAGAGACAGTGGTGAGAAGTAGGTATGTTGGATGTATGCAACAGCACCGGTAGGCTCTGAGGAAGGATTGGGATGTGGGTTGTGAGAAGGAGAGTCAAAGTTGACTACGGGGGTGAGCGCTTGGCCTAGCAGATAAGACACCAGTTAAGACACCTATATCCACATGAGAGTATCTGGCTGGAGCTCCTGATTCCTGGTTACTGCTAATGCAGACCCTGGTCTAATGCAGACCCTGGGGAGTAGTGGTAATGGCTTAAGTAACTGGGGTCCTGTCACTCATCCATGTGGGCAAAGCAGGTTGCATTTCCAGGGTCTGGATTTGGCCCTGACCATTGTAGGCATTTGAGGGTGAACCAGATGATGTGAATATTCTCTCTCTCTCTCTCTCTCTCTCTCTCTCTCACACACACACACACACACACACACACACACACACACACAAATATTCTCTGTGTCTCTCTGCCCTCCAAATAATTTTTTTAATTCACTATTTTCTTCCCCAAGCTGTTAGATTAATGTAGTGGTCAGTGATTTGAGAATGAAAGATATGTAAGAAGTATATTTGCCATTGGGTGACCAAGGTAAGTAAGTGACTAGGGATTTGCAAGAATCAGAGAGCAAGGAAGAAAGTGATCGTATGGAAAGGTTGACTTGAAATGCCTGTTAGACCTCCAAGAGGACATATGCAGTAGGCAGTTGGTTGTGGAATTCTGGAGTTCAGGGGTGGGTTCCAGACTGGAGATGTAAAAATTCAGGAATCATGTAAAGCTAGATAGGATGCAATAATGGTTGTAGTTAAAGCTATTTGGTATTATAGGAAGATTCTATAGAGGTGAAAGTGCATTGCAAACAACATCTGAGAGGTAGACTTCAGGACTGCCATCAGAGATGATAGCAAAAGCTGACAATGATTCTTTCAGTCAACAGCTAGTACAATACCAAGAACAGGTATAAAACATCTAATTAACATTTAAAATTTGAATTGCTCCCAGTTGGCCTAATTGAGGAAATAGTTTTACAGTAAGTCAGATTATAATTTTATAAATTGATCTGCAAAATCAATTACAGTTTTATGGCATTAAATTTGAGGAACATTGTATATGATCTCCATGCAAGTTAGCAAACCACATGATGGGTGCACAACACCTTTTCACATTAATTAAGGCAAATTTAAGCAGCTAATATGAAAAAAAATGTGATGCCTGAGAATCTCGTAGGTAGTCCTGTAACAATCTTAATTTCTGCTGATTCTTACAAAGGCTTTAGCTTCACTGTAAAAATTTGTGACTAACATGGCCTATTTTTTGAGTTGTGTTTTTTTTAATCTTTTTGTTTGGACTGTTGCTCAGGCAGACCTGGCTGTGCCTGATGACTGCCTCTTTGCTCCAAGGCTATGTTTCTTGCTCTTCCTTTGCTAATCACTTTCTCTAGCCAAGCACTGCTCAGACGTTTTATTCCCTGTGTCTGCCCCATGAAAATTTTTTATTGTATAATACACATTTTAGTCATATTAAGTATATAATTCAGTGTCATTTAATATATTTAGTGTTGTGGTACAGTGGGTTAAGCTGCCGCACACACACACACATACACAGTGTAGTAATATCTATAAAAAATGAAATTGTATCATATGTCTCAGGATGGTTGCAAGTAGAGGACATCGTGCTGGGTGAAATAAGCCAGAGACAGAAAGACAAAAACTGCATGTTCTTCCTTATTTGTGTGAGCTGAAGTTTTTAAAACTCAATAAACAAAAACAAAAACAAAATACCTATGTGTATCAGTGTTTCTGCATATATAGTGTTTTGTCAAAAAAAAAAAAAACAGACTGAAGGCATAGAAGATATGGAAAATTACCCCAAAAACATTAAGTAAAAAAGCAATCATTATTCCCAATAAAATAATTTGTTTCATTTAGCCATCAAAATTGACAACCTTTGATATAATAAGCTAGAATATTTTTTTAAGATTTATTTGAAAGTCAGAGTTACACAGAGAGGAGAGGCAGAGAGAGAGAGAGAGAGAGAGAGGTCTTCCATCTGCTGGTTCACTCCCCAATTGGCCACAGTGGCCACAGTGAACAGAGCTGTGCCAACCTGAAGCCAGGAGCCAGGAGCTTCTTCCAAGGACTTGGGCCATCTTCTGCTTTCCCAGGCCATTTCAGAGAGCTGGATCGGAAGTGAAGCAGCTGGGACTGGAACCAGCGCCCATATGGGACGCTGGCACTGCAGGCGGCGGCTTTACACATTATGCCACAGTGCTGGCCCCCAGAATATTTTGGCGAAAAGCTGTTAGAAGCTGTGTTAGGCCCGAGTCTGTGAAGCAAACATGCTGAGTAAACTTTTGAAAGCAGTGGTGATTACTGATGTTGCTATTCCCATTGAGCCAAAAATATCTTCAGAATACAAATAGAGTGATTACAGACAAGTAAGGGTTTAAATTGGAGGGGAATGACATAAATATGAGATCCAAAGTTCAGAGGAGGGGAAATCTGCTATCAGCCAGGTTATGGGATGCTTCCACCTGTGTGCAGAATTCATGTTGATATCTGGTTGGGAGACAATAAAGGAAGATACTTGGCATGGACTTGTGTACATTTTAATATCATTTGGTTGCCTAATGCTGTATTGTTTTTAGAGAAGAAATTTAAAAGATTGCATAACAGTATTTAAAAAAAAAAACAATTACAGATACCTGACCAAAACCCTTCACCTGTCATCAAAGACAAGGAAAGACTGAGTAACTGCCAGGGTTACTGGCACGTGTTAACAGTGTTACAGTGCCAGGTTACAGGCGACGTGTCACTCAGTAACATTGTGGGATCCTAGAGGAGATCCTGTATGAAAAAGGACATTAATGGCAATACCAGGGAATTCCACATGAAGTCTGCAGTTTAGTTAATATTAGTACCAATGTCAGTACATTAGTTTTTGTCATTGTCTAAGAATTACGCAAGGTGGTAACGAGGTGGGAGCTGAGTGATGGACGTGTGGAATTCTGTGAACTTTTTTCTGCCTCTTCAGTGAGCCTAAAATGCTTGCAAAACAAAACAGAAAATAAAACAAACAACCATGAAGCGTCTTGTACTCCTCAATGTAGCAGCAACCTTGCGACCAGCAAGTGCTGAGATGGTAAATTTGTACCAGCAGCTCTGACATTGCGTGAGAGTAACTTGTGTCCTTGTCTCCTCTCCAATCCCCTGCAGGGTGTGCTGGGTGCACCATGTCACTGGCATGTGGGTGTACCCTTTCCTGGAACACATCGGCCAGGGAGCCAGAATCATCTTCTTTGGGTCTACAACCATCTTAATGAATTTTCTGTACCTTCTGGGAGAAGTTCTGAACAACTACATCTGGGATACACAGAGAAGTAAGTATTGTTTGGGGGAACATAAAACAGGACACTTGCTGCCTGTGAGAATGTTTGCAGAATCTGAGGGAGAATTCCACAGACTTTTCTCGTATCCTTTACACAGGGTCTCTTTGGAAGAGTTTTATTTTTATAACTACAATATTAATTTAACAGCTGCTAGCAGTTTCACCTCAAAGGTTTACTACCCACTTAGTCTTTTCAGCTAGTGAAACACCCAAATCTAAAGAGGAAAGGAGGGGCCAGTGCTGTGGCATAACGGGTTAAGCCATCACCTACAACGCTGGCATCATAGGATACTGGTTTGAGTCTCGGCTGCTGCATTTCCAATCCAGCTCCCTACTAATATACCTGGAAAAACAGTGGGAGATCACCCAAGTTCTTGGACCCCTGTGCCCACGTGGGACATCCAGATGAAGCTCCTGGCTCCTGGTTTCTGGCTTCAGCCTGGCCCAACCCTGGCTGTTGCAGCCATTTGGGGACTGAACCAGCGGATGGAAGATCTCTATCTCCCTACTTCTCCCTCTCTCTGTCTCTCTCTTCCCATGTAACTCTGCTTTCAAATAATAAAATAAATAAATAAAGAGGAAAGGAGTATATCTATAGAATTTTATAGGAATAATAGGAAAAAATACAATGTTAACAGAAAAATATTTGGGGAAGCTTGCCCTGATTAACAGAATGCTTTTTTAAAGGGACCCTGAATTAAATCAAGAAGTTATTAAATGTAACCAAACAACCTCATTAAGTGTCACCCAGATGTCCACATTCTGTGTCATCTTTTGTGTGGGTGTAGTCACCTCAGAGGCTCTCTAAGCAGGGCAGAATGGTTCTGGTGACTGTCCTGTAAAGGTTCACTGTTCGAAGACCCTCTTAACCAATCCTCCACTTCTCTTGTGTTTCCATCTGTGGCAGAGCCTCCATCTTGGCAAGGCACATTATCTTACCAAGTTGTGCACAACTTGTCCAAAGTGTGTGTAAGATCACGTAACAGTTGGAAGGTGGAGAAAGTGACAACACAGACAGTGTAGACATCTGAGTCCTGCATGCAAATATATCTAGACAGGATGGTTTGGGAATTTTTAGATAGCTCTGGATAGCTCTTCTAACAAAAGTCACAGAATTCTAGGCACCACCAGTTGATGGACGGGGTTCCATCAATACTGAGCATCCTTCTTTGTGCCAGATATCATGCCAAGAGCTTAATCCAATCAGACAAGCAGAGCAGTCATTCGTGGTTATTCAATCAGGTTTTTTTGGGTGGGGGTCTTCTAAGGGTGTATGAATAAGGGTATAGCCTACGTTCAAGGGCCCAGAGGAAGTTGAAGCTTTCTTTTCTCAGCAGCTTTTGATTTTAATAACTAGTCTGTTAGAAAACATGGCCAATTTTTTATTCAGTTCAAAACACAGCTTGAAGGACCAGAAATTAATCTTTTAACAGTGCTCTCCTCTCTTTGACGTAAATAGTAATCTTTCCCCATGGATGATTTTATAGATGTATTTAGTAAACTTACAAAAGTATTTTGAGGGCAAAATGTAAACTTTCCTCATCTTCCCAGGAGAGAAGCTGTATTTCAATTTAAGTTACTATGTCCAGTATATGTCATTGAGGAAGTGCTGATGACTGCCCGGCTCCCCTTGATTTGATTCTGACAGGCACTGGACCATGTTCTACAGCTACTCTAAGATGGGCTGAAGACCAGGAGAGATAAAGATCTGATCTAGATTAAAAGAATACGGCTTTGTAGCAACTTTGAATGAGGCGTTAAAAATGAATAATGAAAGTGAGGTTGGGGGGATGAACTGTCCAATTCCATTGGTACCATTTTCTGCACCAGTTAAGACTAACCAGCCTTTTCCAGCTCACTCTGGGTATGGAGATTAATTCTGCTGCATTCATCTCATTGATTTTGCAGAAGCTGATGTTTTGTGTCAAGTGGGCGTCTTCCTCCTTTATAAGAAGGGTCACAAATGGCCTTCCCCCAGTTTTGCTCACCAAGAAGTTTTGTCAGGCCTACATAGTAGAATTGTTGGAAGATTTCACCTGGCAGCCAGATTTTTAGCTTCTTAGCAAATATTTGAAGATCTCAAACACTAAGCCCACTGTCCTCCTGTAGCAACAATAGATGAGAATTGAGCATCTGGTGCCCTTTTCCCTCATTTTCACTGGGCCACTTTACTCAGTCATAGTAGCTGCCTGGTCCCATAAGTAGTTGGGTTTGGAACTGATGATTAAATGTTTGTGTGTGTGTGCGTGTGTGTGTGTGTGTGGTGTGAGAGAGAGAGAATTGAGTACATGGAGTACAGTATTACAATCCTGATGACTATATGCCAACTACTATAAATTCCCACCAAGAAGAAAGACTGCTTTATTTTAAGTATCTTCCTTTCTTCCATAATGATTTTTAAAGATTTATTTATCTGAGAGTTAGAGTTACAGAGGGAGAGGGAGAAACAGAGAGAAAGATCTTCCATTTGGTTCACTCACCAGATGGTTGCAACAGTCAGAGCTGGGCTGATCCGAAGCCAGGAGCCAGGCACTTCTGAGTCTTCCATGTGGGTTCAGGGGCCCAAGGATTTGGGCCATCTTTTACTGCTTTCCCAGGCTACAGCAGAGAGACGGATCGGAAGTGGAGCAGTCAGGACTCAAACCAGTGCCCATATGGGATGCCAGCACCGCAGATGGAGGCTTAGCCTGCTATGCCACAGCACCGACCCCCTATAATGTTTTCTTAAGGTCAGCTTCCACTATTTTGTTATGTTATGTTACCTAAAACGTCAAGTAAAAAACATATTATTACAGAATCTTATACTTGCAAAGGAGATTAGAAATCATCTGCACTTACTTTTCCTTTAACTGAAGGCAGTTCAGGTCCAAGCACATGATGGCTCAGAAATGTCACTTAGAACCACAGACCTAGCCTATAATATTGCAAAGTAAGCCAACTGGATATTTTTAAAGATTTATTTATTTATTTGAAAGGCAGAGTTACAGAGAGAAGTGGAAAGAAATCCTTCCTCCATTGGTTCACACCCGAAATGACTGCAACAATTGAATCCAGGAGCCAAGAGAACTCCCTCCAGGTCTTCCACGTGGGTATCAGGGACCCAAGCACCTGAACCATCTTCACTGCCTTCCCAGGGTCATTAGCAGGGAGCTGGATCAGAAGTGGAGTAGCCTGGACTTGAAGTGGTGCCCATATGGGATGCTGGCATTACAGGCAGCAACTTACCCCACTGTGCCACAACACCAGCCCTTGGAATATGAGCTTTTAAAAAGCCCCTTCAGGGACCAGCACTGTGGCAAAGTTGGTAAAGCCGCCCGGAGTGCCGGCATCCCATAGAATGCTAGTTTGAGTCCCGGCTGCTCCACTTCTGATCCAGCTCTCTGCTATGGCCTGGGAAAGTGATAGATGATGAACTTAGTTCTTGGGCCCCTGTACTGGCTTGGGAGACCCAGAAGCTCCTGGCTCCTGGCTTTGGATGGGCGCAGCTCCAGCTATTGCGTCCATTTAGTGAGGGAACCAGTGAATGGACAACTTCTCTCTCTCTCTCTGCCTCTGCTCTCTGTGACTCTGCCTTTCAAATAAATAAATAAATATTTTTTAAAATCCTTAAAATAGGCTAAATTAATAGCCAAGTATTTGTTCTTTCAAAAGGAAGAGTAACTCAGGATGGCTTCGTGGAAGGCATTTCAGTTTGTTGGTGCTGCTGCAACAAATTACGACAAACTGGGCAACTGAAACAATAGAAATTCACTGACTCTCATTTCTGGAAAAATCAAAGATTGGCAGGATTTGTTCCTTGTGAGAACTGTGAGGGAGGGATCTGTTACAGGCCCCTCTCTTTGATTTACATTTGTCTGTCTTTATGTTCACCTGCTATTCTCCATAGATGAGACTGTTTCAAACTTTCCTCTTCTCATAGGACACAGTCATATTTGATTAGGGTCCTTCCTGATGGCCTCTTTTTAACTTTGTAAAGACCAGTTCCAAATATGTTCGCATTTTGAGCAACTGAGAGTTAGGACTTCAACGTATGGATTTGGGAACAGGGCTCAGCCCATAACATTCCACCCTCTCTTAACTTCATGTCCTTCGCACATGCAAAACATATTCAGTCCCTCCCAGTGACCCCAAAAGTCTTCCATCATCAACTTTTAATGCAAAAATTTTTTTTATTTTATTTTTTTTTTATTTTTTGACAGGCAGAGTGGACAGTGAGAGAGAGAGACAGAGAGAAAGGTCTTCCTTTGCCGTTGGTTCACCCTCCAATGGCCGCCGCGGCCGGCGTGCTGCGGCCAGCGCACCGCGCTGATCCGATGGCAGGAGCCAGGAGCCAGGTGCTTTTCCTGGTCTCCCATGGGGTGCAGGGCCCAAGCACCTGGGCCATCCTCCACTGCACTCCCTGGCCACAGCAGAGAGCTGGCGTGGAAGAGGGGCAACCGGGACAGAATCCGGCGCCCCGACCGGGACTAGAACCCGGTGTGCCGGCGCTGCTAGGCGGAGGATTAGCCTAGTGAACCGCAGCGCCAGCCTAATGCAAAAATTTTTTAAATAAAACACGCAGGGTAGGAGTCATCCTGAAGCAAAAATGGTCTGTAGTTGCGTGTGAACCTGCAAAACTGAAGTGCTGGGCCAGGCATAGGATACACAGTCTCATTTCAAAAGAGAGAAATGGCAGGGGAAATGGGGTCATGGTTCTCAAGTATGTCTGAAAGCCAGCAGGGAAAAGTCTCATTAGATTTTAAGGCTTGAGAGTAGTCCTGGGGTGGGTTCTATGTCCGCAAGTCTCACCAGGGATGAGGCTGTGGCTCTGTCTTCCTGGCCATTGGTAACAACAACCCTAACCTCTGGATCCAAGGAGAAGCTGGTGTCTGAACCATCATTAGAGTCACTGGTCCCTCACTTCATCCTGCTTCCGTCCCTCTCAGTCCAGACTGGCAGTGATCCTACTGGTATAAAATTCTCAAAAAACAGGGCCAGCATTGTGGCCCCAAGGGTTAAACTGCCATCTGCAACACAGGCATCCTATATGGACACCAGTTTGAGTCCCAGCTGCTCCACTTCTGATCAAGCTCCCTGCTCATGCACCTGGGCAAGCAGCAAAAGATGGCCCAAGTACTTGGTCCCTGCACCCACACTGGAGACCCTGATGGAGTTCTTGGCTCCTGGTTTCCATCTGGCCCAACCTTGATCATTGCAGCCCTTTGGGAAGTTAATCAGCAAATGGAAAATCGATCTCTTCCCTCCCTCACTCCCTCCCTCTCTACCTCTACCTTTCAAATAAATAAATGATTAAAAAATTTTTCAAAAACCACATTAGACTCCCGTACAGTTCATGGAGGTACAAGTTGTCAGACAGGGGATCCTTGGCAGTTCCTCCCTGGATAACCCCTCTCTCTGTTTACCTTCTGCTGAAATGGTGATTGGATCCATGATCAACATGTTCCGTCACATCTTTGGAACTGTCTCGCATTCTGAGGTGCTGAGGATTAGGACATCAACATATGGATTTAGGGGACACCAGTTAACCAATAAGCTGACGTATTTCAGTACTACAACGAAGAGTCTGTCCCAGTTCAAGTGAGTCTGTCAGTCTGTCAGAGGTGACCTGTTACATTCAAGTGGAATTTTACAAGTCCAGAAATGAAAAGTGGCCCAAAGAGAAAGGATAAGGTGAGGGCAGAGGAAGCGGGCAAGAGGGGAGGAGTGAGAGGAGGTGACTGTCAGGCTTAGATGAACAGACACCACCCCTTTTCTCCTCCAAACACCTATCCAGGCCAGCAGGCCCAGCAACTTGGAGCACTGCCCCCTGGTGGAGCCCCCCTCCCATGCTGGGGGAAGCACAGGCTACAGACTCCCTCAGGGTCCTCAGCCTTGCCCCTCCTGTTCCCACAGATGTGCCCTGCCTCAGTTTTCTGACAGGTCTCTTTGTGGGCTTTACATGGAAATGATGCCTCTAGTTCCTCCAAACGTTATTTACAGCTGTCGAATTTTTCCCTCTACCTCACAACTGCCAAACTCCAGTAGGTGGGGAGCCATTTGCCCTCAGTAGGTCCCTGAACAACCCTGTTCTCCCTAGCGCCTTGTTTGGAAGATTCCACCATCACTGCCAAGTCAACCCATCCGCAGCAGAACAGCATTGGAGGAAGCAGACTTGAAAAAGCAAAAGCGAACTGCCATCAGTCCCTGATAGCTTCTCCACAGGAGAGGGAACATGGGACAGGACTAGGCACTGAGGTCACGCGTGCTGTTCACATGGTCTGTGTTGTGTTCCCTGGGTTTGCCTTGGTTACCCAACAACTAAGGCAGATCATACTTTCTCCTTTCCACTGCCCTTACTCCTCAATTTGAAATGTTCCTTAATATGATTTCTGAGAAGTCCTTTGGAAAAAGTGTTAGCGACCTCTGCCAGTTCCTTAGTCATGAAAACCAGACATAAAAGACTTTCTGAGGACACCTGCCCAGAACCTGTTACCCACATTGCAACACCACCTTCTGACCCCACCATGCACATACTAGTAGCTAGGATTTGGGGACCTTTTTGATGCTGTCCTTATCATTATGACCCTCTGGGCTTTGTTGTTTTTGGTTTTTTTTGTTTTTTGGTTTTTGGTTTTTTTTATACTGTGGAGTCCATTTTTTTTCCTACCGCTTTTCCACTAGTGCAGCCTTCTGAGCCCTTCCTTATGTGCACATTTATGAAATTTATTCAACAAAGATTAATTGAGCCATTCCCATGAGACTGACCCAGTGTTAGTTGTCAGGGATGTAATCCAGAACAAAACAGTTAAAGCCGCTGCCCTCAGAGAGCTTGCAGTTTATAGAAGAATACCAATACAGCCTGCAAAGTGGTATTTTGTGTTTCATTCTGTCATTGCTATAGAAACAAACAAACACAAAGTCTAAGAATTTGGTAAGATTAGAAAAATGCTTAACTACAAGCAAAGGACAAAAGAAGCAGGAAGCATTTGCCAGATTTAACTGTAATTCATGAGAATGACTTGAATGTTTTCATCTCCAGGAAAATGAAACATCCCTGCCTATTCATTACAGACAACAGGCAAAGGTCTTACGGATCCAGTACATACAAGTCCTTCAGGAAGAAAAACATAGTTCTACTAGGATTGGGTTGAATAGAGGGGGAGCTTGAGTTTAAGTATACATGGGTATGGAAATAAACACTTCTTGTGGCTCATAAGCTCTTTATGGGCTTTGAAAAGGAAAAAAATTCCAGAGTGCTTGCCTTGGGAATGGGCAGAGCTAAAGTAAAAACAAATGAAGTCTGTTTGAAACTCATCAGCTGCACATCTCCTGCTGCTAGAAGCTGATTAAATAGCAGACCAGCTGGGTGTCCTTGCACCCTCAATGTAGTGGAGACATCAATGGTAGTCAGCCCACACTCCCAGAAGCCACTGGAGCAGGGAGTGTCCCAGAGATCTTGAGTCCAGATTCAGGGGGAAGCATGGGGAGAGACGTCACCAAGGATGTTTCTGGAGACCATGTAAATGGCTTTCCTTCCAGAACATAAAAGGCGGTGGATGCCAGGGGGTGGATGGGAAGAAATGTGGGGATTTGAGGGTTTTTGTGAGCATCTTGGATGAGTTTAATGTGCCTGTTTTTCTAGGTATGGAAGAAGAGAAAGAGAAGCCCAAGTTGGAATGAGATCCAGGTCTAAAAGGGAGCACTGGATTGAGCCACCACTGAAGACTCCTCCCTCCCCAGCCCTAGGCATTGGCAGTGCCTGAGGACAAGAGCTTCGGGGAGGAGGGGGCATCTTTTATATATAAATATGTATAAAAACAGAACACAGTTGTTTCCAAGATATCTTACATTCACTGTGTTTTAAGGAATTCTGTCCAAATTCGTTATTGATAATGACGTCTTTTTTCTCCTCCAGTTTTCAGGCTGTAATTGGCCATTGGGTTTTCATTTTTGCAATTATAACTCCATTTAATCAAGAAAGATTAAAATTTGACTGCATTTCTTGTTGAGAAACATGTTAAAAGCAGAGAGGCAGCTGTAGAGTAGGGATGTGCGTATTTAGTCCTAAAGGTGGCTGGAGTAATGAGTCTGGGCCAGGTGTGAGCCCCAGAAGAAGAATAGATATTTCCCATTGCAATAATGTCACAATTGCCTCAAATGAGCAATGTTAGTAATAATGATATTTAAATCTCTTGACTTAATCTTGTGAAACTTTCCCTAGACTCATACTTTAATAAAGACCAAGCAACCCCATACCTGATGTCTGCATGGAACAGCTCAAAGTCCTGGCTGTGTCTCCTTTCTTATTTTTATTATTTTGTTTCTATTTCCTATTGAAAATGGTTTACTGAACATGGTTCTTTCCTATGATTTTATGATTTTTAAAAAATTGATTTTTTTATAATTTTAGAATCTTTTTTTAAAAAGTTAATTTCCAAAGTCTTTGTATTTTTAGAGTAGAAAATGGAAGTGTCATATAAATTATGAAATATTACATAAAACAAGTATAGGTGCTCATTGTCCATAAGAGTGATGTAAAACCTTCACTTCAAAAATTATTCAATTTTAATTGATAATAAAATTTAAGAAATGCTAGAAATCCCTCTACCCCTTGACTGTCTTCCCACCATACACACACACACACACACACACACACAAATGTACACACATTCTCTTAATTTCCTTTGTCTTATCTACAACGACTTCCTCAGTGAGACCTTGCCACTGCCAAGGTCCCAGTATCACCTAAAGGGAGAGGATTGTCAGATGCTCCTGATCGTTTATTTACAGATAATCAAAGTAGGTACACTCTAGTGTAAGTGTGCTTATACTTTGCACTAAAAATATCCAATTTTTTAAAGATTTATTTATTTATTTGAAAGTCAGAAATAATACAGAGGAGAAGCAGAGAGAGAGAGAGAGAGGTCTTCCATCTGGTGGTTCACTCCCCAATTGGCCACAACAACCGGAGCTACTCTAATCTGAAGCCAGGAGCCAGGAGCTTCTTCAGGGTCTCCCACATGGATGCAGGAACCCAGGACTTGGGCCATCTTCTACTGCTTTCCCAGGCCACAGCAGAAAGCTGGATCAGAAGTGGAGCAGCCGGGACTTGAACCGGCATCCATTTGGGATGCTGGCACTGCAGGTGGCAGCCTTACCCGCTACACCACAGTGCCGGCCCAACATATATCCAATTTTAATACACTAAATTATTAGAAATTTCCAGAAAGGGAAAAAGTTCAGTTAATAAACATGATTGTGTAGAAAACATGCTACAAAATACTATGAAATAATTCCAGCCAAATGTATGTAACATTAAGAAATATAAAACTGATATGCATATTGAAACATATTTTCGGACTAGGTCACAAAGAAGATACACAAAATGAAGTAGTTATGAAATGTTGAAAGGAGCTTACACAAAAATACACCTAAAACTTGGAAACAAAAATAAACAAAGGTTGTGATTTTGATCCGTGACAAGTCCCTCATGGTGAACTCATTCTGTGTGCCCTGTGTCTGAAAGCGAGTTGATAGAAACGTAGACTGCATCTGACAGAATTCCCATATTGGTTCTCTAACTAATGAAGTTGGGACTATTAAGTAGAAAGCTCATGAAGAAAGCCACCACCAGAACAGAAAAGCAAAGCTCCATTCTTGGAATAACTGCTGCAAGTTAGTGCTACTGTCAAATACTTGAAGGATGCAGAGTTGGTGGCTGAACTCACAACTACATTTACCTTACCTGTTTGACCTGTGTTATGTCTTAGTCCTCCACCCCCACACCCACCCCCACCCAGGTCTTCAGAATATTTGAAGACCGGGCCTTTAGATGATTAGATTAAAATGAGGCAGATAGGTTGGGCTCTAAGCTAATTTGATCGGTGTCCTTACAAGAAGATTGGAACACACAGAAAGACACCAGGATTGTGCAGGCACAGAGGTGAGATCATGTTACAACACAATTAGAAGGGGGCTGATGGCAAGCCAAGGAGATGGCCCCAGAAGAAAACAAACCTCCCAACACCTTGACCTTGAACTTGTAGTCTCCAGAACTGTGAGAAAATTCCTGTGGTATTCTGCCATAGCAGCTCTCATAAACTAATTTGGCCTGTATGCAAAAGATTCTTGGTTTTGGAGAAGAAAATCAATGATTATAAACATACTTGGGTGGTGATTCGGCTAATAACAGCTCTTAGAAGTGGTCTCCTTTTTCCTGGAGGGCATCAGTACAATCTGTGGTATGTGGTACAAAACTATTCACATCTTCTTTTACCTTACAAGGACAGCCTTGTGCTTTCACTATCTTTTTTAAGGGTATTTCAATTCTCATTCCACATCATGAGTTAGTCCACAATGGCCTTGATTGTATAGCCATTCCACGTGACATCAAGCTACTATGACATTGATCACATTATACTGCTTGGAAAATGTACCAAGTAGCTGAGATACCTCAGATAGACTTGGGCATGTCAAAAGATAATAACCAAATGCCCCCACAAAAAAATTCAGGAACCATCCATTTTTGTAAAATGTCTAGGTTCCAGTGGTCTGCATGAGATATATGACTATGTGCCCTCTTAAGTTACATCAAATTCTTTCATTATTCATGCATTATCACTAGGAAGGAGGAATGCTGTCATACTGTATTTTGAGGAAACTTATTTTGTATCAAATGTGTTGTTCTTATCCCTAGACCACCACCAGAATAGAAAAATTCACAAGAGTTATAAAAACTTAAAAAGATAAAACTATCACAACCTGCAGGTTTTTAATTTTTATTTACTTCAAAGCCAGATACAGAGACGGAGGCAAAGATTTTCCATCTGCTGCTTCACTCCCCAAATTCTTGAAGTAGATGGAGTTGAGCCAGGCCAAAGCCAGTAGTGAGGAACTCCAGCTAGATCTCCCACAACAGGTGGTAGTCACCCATATTTGAGTGATCACTGCTGCCTCACGGGGTGTGCATTAATAAGAAGCTAGAGTTGGAAGCAGAACCTGCACTCCAACCCAGTCACTCCAATATAGGATGCAGACATCGCCAACACAGTCTAAATTGCCTCTCCAAACACCTGTCCCAGATGGCATGATTTTAAACCAACATATACACAACCTATTTCATTACCTTTTATTGCCCTTAAGCTGCTCAAAATCTCAGTGGCTTAAAACAAGAACATTTACTTTGCTACCAACCTTGTATTTTGGGCAAGAGTTGGTAGAATGAGCTGGTCTGTGAGCTGGTGTCTGCTGTGGTGATGTGAAGGTTGGCAACTAGTCTTCTAAAGTTTCTCTCATTTACGTGCCTGGTGATTCCTGCTACTGTTGACTGGGTCCTCAAGTGAGGCTGTGACCAGAACAACTACATGTGGCCTTTCCACTTGGCTTCTCGGTCTCCTCCGATGTGGCTACATGTCATTTCCAGGTGATTGCTCAGCTTCGTCACACTACAATGGCTGGGCCCCAGGAGGGCCAGATGAAAGGCTTGTTACTTCATATGACTTAGCTTCAGAAGTCACGTGGTGTTGAAGTAGGCAGGATACAGGTTAAAACTGATTAGGTTTGTGAGCTGGAAGACCACGCCTATGCCACGCCCTTGTGTGACCCCATGCCTCTACCTGATACCTTTGCCATGCCCCTGTGTGACCTCATCCCCCTACCTGGCCACACCTGGGTGCCAACCAGCCAATCAGGGTAATTAACCACTCCCCTTTGGAAGTGGGTTAAAAGCCTAGAACACAGTGTGTCCGGCCCGTCTCTTTTCCCTGGCCTCTTGCCAGGAGGGCTTTGCTGTAGCCCAGAGCCTCCAGGGCACATGGCCTTTGGGCCACGCCGCCCTAGGCTTCCAGGCCTGGATGATCCGCCATGTGGCTTGTTCCTGGTGCTCGATATGAACCCCTATTTACCTCTCTGTCTTAAATAAAGCTCTCACTCTCCTATACATCTTTCTCACTAAATAAAGGCTTAAAACGTACCATGCTGCCTCGTTTATCTGTGCCAGTATTTAGAATTCTTCTCTAAATATTAGGCAAGAACCTTCTTGGGCTTATTTATATTGAGGATTTAGTAATAAGCCCATGGTGAAATCGTATGGTACCCCAAATTCCTGTAGCACATGTGGCATCCCAGATAGCAATTCTGGGGAACTTTAAGGGGCAACATTTTTTGTATAAATTTTAGGGGGTCATGTCCGATTTCAGTGTCACTTCTGCTACAGTCACAGGTCTGCCCAGATCCAAGGGGTGGGAAACTGGAGCCTCACTTTTATGGAGTAGCGATGTTGCATTGTAGAGAGGATATATGGGATGAACATTGGTACCTGGATTTGGAAACTGCAATCTGCCACACACATCCAAAGCACTAAACTAGAAAATGACTTTGAAATTGAGATACTAAGGTAATAGGGTATAAAATTAACATGTGCAAGTCAGTAGTTTTCACATGTATAAATGCATGAAATGGGATATAAAGGAAGAAAAAAAACCAGAGGCAGTAACAGCATTGTGAAGAAAATGATAAAACAAATGACACAAAAGAAGACTTTAATGAAGGAAACACAAACCATGTTCTTAGAAAATAAGTTGTGTCATAACTATGCCAAATGTCAAGATAACATAAATTCAGCATAAACGCAATGAAAAACCTGCCTTTCTTTGCATTTATTCACTTATTTGTTTCTTTATTTTTAGATAAACAAGTTAATCCTAAAGAGGATACATCAAAGATTTTGTGTAAAAATGGGATTAAAAGATAAGTTTATTTTCATGCAAAAATATTGAAATCCATACATAATTGTATAATAATAGAAAGTTCATGTAAATCGGTATTATGAAAAAACCTTGTGTGGATTACAAAGAAAATTCATACCAAAATAATTTTATCTTTTAATCCTGTGGGGAGCAACCCGGACTAGACTAAGTTACTGGAATTAAGACTTATTCTATGCATCTGCTCTCCCACAATATGGCGCTGAGAAGGGAGAAACAGCTTCTACACAGCTGCCTCCAGTTCAACCAATAAACAGCAGGACCTGCTCCTGATTGGAGGAGAGTAGCGTGCTCGGCGTGTGGGTAGCAGAGTTGGGATTGGTGGAAGAGGACTATAAAGGAGGAGAGAGACAACATGCACCAGGAACATCTAAGAGGAACATCTAAGGGGAACACCTGTGCAGCCCCCGAGAGAGCCGGCCGGCGGTGTGCCGCTCCCCTGCGGAAGTGGGGAAAGTGGCAGGGGGAACCGCCCTTCCACGGAGGTGGAAGGGACGGTAGCCAACCCGGGAAGAACC